TCATCGGCGGATGGGCCCACAAAGTGAAAATTTGTGAAGAACACTGACCCTATAGTATCCGCAGTATTCGACGTTAATGCTGTGGCAGGGCACCTGACCCACGAGGTCAGGGTTGGGGGTCAACTTTGCTCTTGAGTAGCACGCAGTGGTCGTCCTATGGGCAGAGTGGTGACTATCACAGGAATGTGGAATTTCATAACACTGGCCTAGGGACGACAACACCACACTTGCACAGTTATACTTTCAAGCAATCATACGGGGGAATTGGCTAAACATCTCCATGAGAACCTTCTTCAAAAGAATCTTGATAGTCAGTGAGTACGAGGGAATTGTTACGTATGATTATTATAATTGTTATATATTTTGGAGCCGCAGCTAAAGAAGTGAATGCATCCAAGAGGACATTTACCGAGGAGATGGAGCGATGAAATCAGGTTTGAGGTGGATTATTACACCGCAGGGTAATGGGAGATGATGATGATGATGATGAATTGGGGAGGCAAACATCCAGCAGCGGATTGGCCAAGGCTAATGATGACGACGAAGACTGCAAATAGCCTTCATTAACATGCCTGGGAACCATACCCTTACATGCATCAATACAAGTATAACTACAAAATCCTTATATAACAATTACTACCAAACTTACCAACACAGCTTACGAGCTCTTGTGCCGACGAGGGCTGTAAAGTTTTACGACAAGATTGAAACAATAACATGCTTTTCCAAAAATAAAAACCTAAAAATATATTTATATCATAACATCATGCATGTTGCGTTTCAGGGAGATTATTGTGTGTCCTTCATAATGTAAGTACACAATGCCCAATGTGTGTGTCTGTTTGTATCTGTGTTAACTTCAAATCCCCGAACACGAGAGGTTTCGCCTAATGGGTTGGGGCTTGGCGTGCTGTACACACCAGCACGCTATGTTAACTTTTCACTTGCAAATGAAACAGGTGACACACACACGCGCGCACATAACCAGCATTGCAAATAATGTAGTTCAATTATAAAGCACTTATAAATATTGTTTCGACTAATTAATTTCAATTTATCCCATTTCATACAAAGCACAATGCATCTAGAGCACATTTAATCCACGCACCATGCAATTACTTTTTCCCCCCTTCCTTCCTCCACAGATGTTTCATTAAATGAACGTTCCCAGACAGTATGGATTAAGTGCAAATCTGCTTTGAATGTGCGTGGATTAGGGGGGCGCTTTCACCGCATACTGAATAAACAATACACTTTCACACAGCGAGCCACCCGGCTTAATAACTCCGTACCGTGGCGCAACGGTAAATGTTACGAGGGCACTTTGCATCAAAGCTTAAATTGTCACACGTGCGGCGCTGTGCGAAAACAATGTCAGCCTCTTCCGAGAAAGGTCTCCATGCTTTTGGGAAAGGGTCCAACGGCCTGAAATTTTAAGATCATGTGGTGATACTTTTATTTATCTACAAGAGCGTCTGATAATGAATCGGCGCTGCACAACCCTGAGGCAGCAGCGGGCAACTCGCAATTGGAAGGTTTGCGAATGAAATCCTGGGCGGGAATCAAACTTGGCCAACCATCCCCACCCAGGGTGGATAAAAGTGGGTACAACTTTGTGAAGGCTCATCGGTGAGATATGCATTTAGTGAGACTCTTCCCCTCCATGCGAATGTGTAATTTATAATACCGCTTTTGGACCATAAACAGAGACCATTAGAGTCCCATCAGAGACAGATACATATTTGTCCATCGCCTAGAGATCCCATCAGAAATCGTTTTGTCCATTTTACTGTCTGGAGACCCCACCAGTGACAGATATGTTGGCCTAGTGTCTAACGACCACATCAGAGACCGATTACTGTCTGGATACATTGATGTTTAAAGACACCACGAGAGAAAGGTCGATCTGTCTATTATCTAGAGCAGTGTTTTTTTTTACCTGGGGTGTCACGGCACCCCCTGGGGGTGTGAGATGCCCTTTCTGAGGTGTGAGACATGGCCAGATCTTTTTAGAAGGTAAAATCATCAAAACACAAATTAAGCACGGGCACCTAAGCACAACTTACTTTGTTTCACCAAACCTGTGCACTTAGTAACATTTGAAACAAATGTTACAATTGAGGGTGCAAGGGTGCAGTAAAAGTTTAAGAACCACTTGTGTAGAGGATCCTATCAGAAATCAACGCCACGGAAATATCGGAAGCTCAAGGACAAGTGGCTGAGACAATCATTCCGTACTGTGGAGGGAGGTTATAGGCGACTGCTTGCGTGCGCGTGGCCATACCTGCCCCAAAAGCCAACACACACAAATGGGATGTGTTCAAGATGAAAGCCGAGCACGCACAGAACACCCCCAGACTAGAGAAGATGAAAAACTGTTTGCAGACCACATCATCAGGCCGCAGAAGAGGGGGGGAGGCTCGAACATGTGACCTTTGGAATGAAGAGGCGGGGGAGTGCACCGGCTGTGTGCTTTACACTCTGCCAATGAAAGTTCGCCTGGGCACGCTGCAATTATTGCGCGAGCGGTCTCCGCGTACTGTACCAACGTGCCTCCCCCTACGTGTGTATCGCACAACAGAGGCGCGGGGGGAGCAACGGCGACACCCGGAGGGCCCAAGTTTCATTTCCCCCGTCACGGATAACATCGGGTGGTGGTTGATCCAAATCAGTCCTGGGCCTCCCCTTATTTCGACTCGGCCTTAAAAAATTAGTCACCTGGTGTCTCGCGCGTAAAAATCAGCACTTGCGGTGACAAAGGTGGTCCGGGCACGGTGTTGACTACACCACCTCGTGCACCTTGCAGGCCCTTCAAAGCTGGGGTGGTGGGGAGGGGTTGTTTGTCTTTGAAAAAACTAAAGCTATTTTTATTTTACCAGGCAAGGCCCACTGAGCTATACAGCTCCTTTTCAAAAGCGACCCGATCCCAGGTCGCTTTTGAAACCCACGACCCTCCTGTATACCAGGCGAGCGAGTTAACATCTAGTTACCGCGAAAGCGAGGCTTTGACTTGTCGATCAGCACAATGAACCACAGTCCCAGAAACCCAAACTTCACTGCCTGTATTTGATCCCTAGCAACAGCTGCCCATCGAGTGTGGAGGCAGTGCAACTGCAACCGAGGCCCATGGGTAGGAGGAGGCCAGGCGCCCGCCAAACTACGGATAAGGGGGTAAATTCAGAATCAGAATATTTCTAATGGAGGAATTCGATGACCTACAAAAGTTATTTATCACAGGGGGTACCACCCCTCAGCCAATTCCTTACATCAGGGCCCATTGCAACCATCCGATGTCAATGACCTTTCCGTATGTCTGCTCAGCCTGCCAAATAGGAACCCGGTGCTTTATCGTCAATGTTATGTTTTGTGTGTAATAACCGAGGCTAATAATTTACTATGCAAGCTTTGCACAGTTACAGATACGTGGCTAGAGTCCACCAAGACCGAAAGTCTCTTACATGGGGAAACAAGGTTCCCAGATCACAACAGAGTTCACTTGTGAACAGACACGGTCAAAACAATCGGCCATCACAAAAACCCAGTATTCACACGGACGGCAAAAAATAGAAATATTAAAAGCACAATTAGGAATGCAAATACAAAACATTAAAAATGCTCATTTATTCTCGAATACAAGTTGGGTGACCAGCACCACGCACGGCGACCTTTGTCTTCCCATTGCCGATGTTTACACACCACACCGGGTACTCGTTTTTAAGGCTGAGTCAACCTTGGGGAGGCCCAGGAGCGATTCAGATAATCGTCACTGGTGTTGGCCATGAGCGGGATTCGAACTCGGGTCGCCGGGTTCGTAGCGCTGCGCCGCTACGCTATGCGCTCTCGAGTGAACAAAGTTTTTTTTTTACGGCTCGCCTATTGTGGGGAAATTAGCTATGGAAGGGCATCGGGGAAGTGATAAGACGTGTAACACAAACCGGGAGTGTGCGATCAGAGTTAATAACTTGGAGTGCTCTGTGCGTTGCTTAAGGGGGCCCCGCGTGGCATGAGTGATTCTCTGCTCAAGGGTCGAGGGGCACACTTGAATCGTCATGAACTGGGGAATTGAGATTTAAATTAGGCCAAGTGTGAGGCGGTTCAGATTCCCAGCAGCCTCCCAGACAACTGTCGGGTTAACCAGAGGTCCTACACAAACACAATTGCATAGCAAAACACGAAGCCCGACTGTGATTTGGTTAATAACGCACCCAGCCACCTTTGTCCCCCCCCTCTCTCCCCCAGTGCTGATGATTACACAGCGCAAGAGATACACATTTAAGGCGGAAATGACCCAGGGGATGCCCAGGGTCGGTTCACGTATCACTCGCCACTGATTTTAGCCGTGAGCGGGAATCAAACGCAAGTCACCGGGTTCGTAACGCAGTGCCGCTGACACAACAACAACAACAACGACCTCCATTCGCCTGCGCCAGGATATTTGGACTACTTTGAGGCCACGTCGAGTATCGGAAGCTCTCTCGCATGAAGTGACGGGACAGACACAGGCGTTCTAATTTAACTGATTGAGATTAATGGCAGCTTCCCCACTTGTGCTCCTTACTGTGCCGATAAACACAAAGAAAACTTATCCTCCATAGAGCGACAACAGAGTGCTGTTAGCGAGCACATTTTAAAGGCGGCACGGTTAATGAGGGGGTGGGTGGCCAGCACCATGCCCTGCTGCCATCGTCTCCACAGTGGTGATGTTTACACACCGCAACAGACACTCATTTGAGGCCGAGTCTACCTACGGGTGTCCCAGAAATGGTCATGAGTTTCATCACCGATGTTGGCCGTGAGCGGGAATTGAACTCGGGTCACCGGGCTTGCAGCGCACGGTGCTAATTACCAGAATGACGGATGCCATCATTCTTGGGGGAAAAAACGCCAGGACAAGTGACCGGCCACCCCTATACTATTTCCAAGGTCCCGCATGTGCCCGGCACCACCACCACCGCCGCCGCCGCCGCCGCCCCTCCGCCCCATTCCAGCTTAGGCCTCACCTCCACGTCCTGCACCTTCATGCGCGTGCCCTCCTTGCCGACGAAGATGTCGTCGATGTCGACGAGCACGTAGCGCTCGAGGGGCAGCGCGAGGCGGCGCCCCGTCAGGAACGCCACGGCGTCCACGAACACCAGCTTGTGCAACCACAGCGCCAGGTTGTTGCCGAAGAGCACTCGCTGCACGCCGTCGTACAGGCCCAGGTCCTGCACCACCGTGGGGTGGTAGACGGGCGCGACGCCCGGGTGCGGGATCAGGTCCGACGACTTGGTGCGCGCCAGCAGCACGGGCAGGTACGTCGTGTGGTTGAACTGGAACACGGTCCAGTCGTCGCCGGGCAGCGGCTCCTGGATGACCTGCGTTGGTGGGCGGGGGAGGGGGGTAAGGTGTGGGGGGGCGAGGGGGTGGGAGGTGAGGGGTAAGGGGGCGAGTGGAGGTGCGTGAACGGCGATCGCGCATTTGCCCGTGGACGGTAACGACGGAAGGGAAAACGCGACGACAGCCGCCGTTGGCCGCCGAGCGATGGCAGAAGTCAATCAGCGCTCGCGCCGGACTCGGCACGCGGAGATGAATAGGTGGGACGGCACTCGCGTGCCGTCGTGCTGTTCCAGCCCTGAGACAGCGGTGGACAGTCCGCAAAAGTCACACGGACTCGGCGCGCCCGCGTCAGAGCTCGGACGCAGGTTTCCGTAGCGCCTGCGGAGCGACGTGGTAGGCGGCAGAGGGGAGCGTGGCAAAAAAAAAGTGGCTATGCCATACAGTACTTCTACGTTCCTCACATCTATGCCTCCCACCTCCGCCAACTCGTACTGTCCAGCGTGCTAAAGTATCATCATCATCATCAAATAATACCGACAACCCACTCGATGTGGAGGCCCTCATCCAGCAGTGGGGTGTGGCGAATCTAGATGATCCAACCACGAACAAAAAACTGGGGTGGGGAGGAAGCCAGTAGCATAGGCGGCGGAGGAAAGACCAAGCGGAGGCCAGTGGTGGATATGGCCCAAAGAGCTGGCATGACCGGCCCCGCGCGGCTTTGGAAAAAGAGAGAGGCCAATTAAAAGCCACCAAACGCCACCAAATTTCTGGGGGCTCGGACGCCGAAGACGCGAAGGGCCGAGCGATCGCCCCGGGGCTCCGCACCTCCTTGGCGCGCGTCACGTAGAGCAGCGGCGAGCTGGGGTTCACGAAGCAGTCCTTGAGCCCCAGGTTCGAGTGCAGGTAGAGGGGGAAGCCCTTGAGCTGGGCGCTCAGGAGGCTGTTCTCGTTCGCCTTGAAGAAGCCGATGACGCCCACGCCGTACTCGAGGCAGTACTTGTCGAGCAGCTCGCGGTTCCACGCGTCCAGGTTCACGTACTTAAGCACGTTCTCGTACACGACCAGCGCGTACTTGCCGCGCCGGTTCTCCGTCAGCGTGGGCATGTCGCCCTTGCCCGGCGCGATCTCCGCCCGGTAGCGGAAGCGGCTCATCTCCAGGATGGCGATGATCTCCTGGCCGAGCTGAGAGAAGTAGCTTTCGAGGAACACCAGCACCACGGGCTCCGTCTCGGGCTTGTAGTCCTGGCGGCTGGCGCGGTGCGGCCGGGCCGCGGCCGCGGCGGCCGCGGCCGCCGCGGCCACGGCGGCCGCGGCGGCCGCGCGGTTCGCGTTGCCGGCGACGGCCCTCGCCCCCGAGCCGCCCGTGCTGTTGTCGTCGCAGCCGATGCGCGGCCCGACCCGCAGCTCCTTCACCTTGTCGGAGTCGTTCATGTAGTACATGGTGAGGCACATGGACAGCACGCCGAACGCGATGAGGAACACCATGAGCTTGCGCAGCTCCAGCTGCCACACGCCGCGGGTGACGCGCCACATGCAGTTCATGGCGCCCGCCCCGCGGGGGGCGGGGGGGGGGGGGGCGGGGTGCGGTGGCCGCCGCGTCGGCTCCGAGCACGCGGTGGCGGGGGGGGGGGGGGGGGGGGGGGGGGGGGGGGGGGGGGGGGCCCGCGCTGCTGCGATCCTTCGGGGGCTGGGGGGGGGGGCGGCGTCGATCTCGTGAGCAGACGCCGACGTTATGTCACCATTGCAAATGCGCTTGGTGGCAGGGCGACAGGTATTGGTGTGCGCACGCACGCACGCGGGGTTGCGTTTGGTGACGATTTGGATTTTGTCTTTTTTTTATGTTTTACTCCTGCGGAGGTCGTCCGCTCCGCTGAGCCCGCCTCGCCGGCGGGATGGAACTCTGTGGCGTGATGCGTTAATTTAAAAGGCAGGGGAAGTCAAGCGTGTCCTGGGGTCTCTTCTTCATTTTCGCGATGAAGCCTGCAACACAGGAACAAGGATATATATATTAGATGCCGTTGCTCTCCTGTTTTTGTAGATCATCATCATGATTATTTTTGTTTTCATCCGAAGGTTTTTGATAATTCCCACGTCGGCGACCGCTACATCACAGCCGTCACACAAAGCACCGATCGTTAAATCAGTAACGAGTTGCATTATTACAATTGACTCGATTCGTATAAATGTGAGCGGCCTAATGATTTGAGCATTTGAATTCGTCTGCGAATTAATGATTTTATTCTGAATGAATTCTCACATGCGTGCGAACGGATATGAACATTAATGCTTTTTTTCTAAAACCCCCTTGGCAAACGCCTTTGGCTCACGGCCGTCTACAATACATTTATATTTTGATAATGTACATTGAAAAAAAATAAAGAAATAACTTCCATAAAAAATTACCTTATTACACAGAACAAATATGAGGCAAGTAACGGTTCACCTCCTTCGAGCATCAATGAATTTCCATGATTCATGGTGGCAAATGCACATGCGCGTGCACACGGAGGCACACACACAGATGCTGGTCACAAGCAGACACACACTTGTATGGCCTAACACGCGCAAACACGAAGATGAAGACCGCCCCCCCTCCCCCCCGAAATGTATGTTGCACCTCTTTCGCGCTGTGCATAGCCAACCGTCCTAATCGGAGGTGCGATTAGCACGGTGCAGTAAGTGCTTCCAGCAAGGGGCAGCTATGAAGGTCGACATAGCACACGAGGGGGTGGGTGGCCACCACCACTTCTGGCTACCAGTCTCCCCGTTGCTGATATTTGCACACCACACCAGGTACTCGTTTACAGACGAATCGACCTAGGGGAGGCCCAGGACCTGTTCAAATGTTCGCCACTGTTACTCGTCGCGAGCGGGAATAAAACTCGGGTCGCCGGTTTTACAATGCAGGGCTATCTACTGCACGTCAGCTCCCCTTGTATATATGTGTAAACACACATGTACACACAGTAAGAGGGTAATGAAATACTTCCCCTGAGTGAAACTAAAATTGAAAATGTCAGACCAAACCTATCTATAAATGATAATTAAACTGCTAATTAACATGCAGACAGAGGAAACGATTATTGCGGATAATTATTATGCTAATTATACTCGGAACGCTCTTAGTTAATATGCATTTATTTTAAACCGGCCTTGGTGAAATTATGCAGGACAAGACTGCTTCACAAATTAGTTTTGCGTATTAACGTTAAGTGTGGTATCCACACAAAACAATCTTCCCAAATGGCTTTTTTTCCCCTCCCAGACACTGAACAATTTCACGGGGAGCAAACTCACCACTAAACAGTGGCGGCTCCACCAAGTGGGGCTGTTGTGAGTGACCTCTGACCAGAGAGAGTGTCGTAATGAAGGAAAACCTCGTCGTGTTATTGGCCTTCCCGTGAAAGTGACACAGCTGCCTTAGCTACCAACGGTGAGGCATTTATAAACAATACGACAGAAGAACAAAGCAATCAAATGCTGTCCCCATGACCCTCAGGTCCACACTACATAACCCCTTTGGCACTGCCAAAAGCCGAAAGAACAATTACAGATCAAGCTGACACGGCTCAACAAATTAGCCACCCAGAGACAAATCAGACTGCGGTGTTGCAGCGGTTTCTAATATGAACAACTGAAAATGTTACCTTCATTAGGCAATTCACGTTCAAACTATAATTATATCTTTTTTTGCTTTTTCACACAACAAAAACAATTTCTAGAAAAGCATTTTCATTAGAAAAATCATTTATCATCCCCAGCTGCTTGGTGGGACGGCGCCCCAACGCTCCTAGTGGACGAACCGCGCCTGCCACAAAACATGTTCATCGCCCACGATCGCAAACCTCTTATGATGCAAATAGAAAAAAAAAACATTTGGCTCATTTATTAAACTCGTAACACATTACCGCCTACAGCCAGCACGGAACAAGGCAGCTTGCGCACACCGGCTTTGGATGTTTCTCCCAAATATGATTTTGATTTGCAGACAAGATGCCTTGGGCTCTGTCTCCCGAGTCCCAGGCATTTATAATGAATCCACCTTCACGAATGTTCTCGACAATGTTCGTGGCTGCGACCCGAAATGTGCTCGGTGAGTATTCAAATACTCGGTGAGTATTCAAATACTCGGTGAGTATTCAAATACGAACTGAGCTCGGTTAGTATTTGAATGGCGGACAGCCGATTCTCGTAGAGTGGCCAGAAGACGACAGTGTTGAGTGCTATTCCCCCTCGTACACGTGGTGGATTTTACCCCCCCTCCCCCACGTGTTCCAATTTCCTCACATGTCCGCCCCAGATAACCTTTATACGTAAATAAAGGCTATCTTATCTGAACAACAGCTGGAATGGTAGCGTGTGTGTTGAGCCACGACAAAGACAATTCCTCATAAAAGTTAAAAAGTTAACGACACAATTCATTACGCAGTAAAGTCCGTGCTGAGCCTCAGGACTCATTTGCAGGAGGATTCCCCACATTCTGTTCGGATGATTAAGTTTATTTTTGTTCGTATTATTTCTCATGTTAGGAAACTGGAGTGCTCAGAGCAAACTTATTAATACAAGAGAGACACAAGCACCGCTTAGAACTTGCAGATAGTCGGCCGGCAACCTACTTGCCGTACTACGCTCCACATTATCTCCGCAATGCAACATCTCACACCGCTCTCACAGCGATCCACCAACCCCATCTCCAAAAAATTGCATTGCGATCACGTGCCAACCACCACCGGCACCTGGCCTCGCAGCAGGACGGTGGCTGAAATGCACGGGGCCGTATTTACGCTTACGAACAAACATTCGTACACAACCGCGCATCCTGTATAGAACTTGCACAGATAGTCGGCCGGCAACCTACTTGCCGTATTACGCTCCACATTATCTCCGCAATGCAACATCTCACACCGCTCTCACAGCGATCCACCAACCCCATCTCCAAAAAAATTGCATTGCAATCACGTGCCAACCACCACCGGCACCTGGCCTCGCAGCAGGACGGTGGCTGAAATGCACGGGGCCGTATTTACGCTTACGAACAAACATTCGTACACAACCGCGCATCCTGTATATGAAAACGTCTTCAAATATTTGCCGCGTACAAAGCAGGAGGAGATGGATAAATAATCTGGAGTCTGGCGGGAAAAATGAATTGTAAACTACAATAAAAGACGCCGCACTTTCAGAAGGCCGCAGCAATGTCATAAAAAAGTGGCAGGAAAAGTTACTCAAATTGAATTTGTGGATAAGCGGGGGTTGTGTTGTGGTGCATACTAAACAGCGAACCCTGTTCTACTTCAATCCATTTCCTACGATAAGACGCCCCCCTAAGAAAGCCAACGCTGTTATTTTTCCATTCACATATTAAAATTGTTTGAGCAAAGAGCATCAAGGCGGCATCGCTGAGATCCGCGGGCTCGAATTCGGGTTTCAACCACCTGTGCTTAAGCAGAGTTCTCAGTGCAGCGAGTCGATGGTTTCAGCCCATTTACACGTGACTGGCTTAGATTATCAATTCATTTGGATGAATGACAGCAGGGAAAATGGAAAACATATACGCATCAGTTTGAGCGTCATGAGACTAAAAGCAACCTCAAGTGCGCACCCCCAGCGCAACGATAGAAACGTCCGCTTGAAGGACTTTTCAGAGGGCGTTTGTGTACATCTCTTGTCCAACCGTTCTCCAACACCGAGGGTCATCAACTGCTCTGTGAGATTGTCCACGGGTATTTCGTCCATTGCGGGGGAAAAAAAAAGAGACGCAGAAATCATGCATTCACTGGCATTGCTTTCGTGGCCCGGCTTTCATTCGCAAGAGAGGCCCTCTTGATGGCCCGTCTGAGTTTTATTGTCAGCCATGGCTACGGTCTGTGGGGTGAGTGTTCTCTATTCCAACGGTAGATTGATTGATAAAGGACTCAATAAAACAGTACCATTGTTACTACTCTTAGTGAGCTATTTTTAAATATAGATCAGATAACTCAATGGGGTTCACATCCAATTCAATATGAGATAATGATTGATTCGCTTGAAAAACGGATTCTATCAATGTGTGATGTTTATAAATGGATTGGCAGCATTTCTGCCAGAGTGACTGTGAGGCTATTAGTTTGTTGTAGAGTTTATTTGATGTGAATCTATCCTCCGCAATTTGATTAAGCCCTGCAGCTACATTATCAATTCCGTGCCATCTGAAAGTTTCTGACAGTCTGGGTGAACCGATCTAGGTCATGGAATGCCATAGTGTTCAGTGCGCCGAGCCAGAAACCCAACAAACCAGAGTTAAATTCTGGTGTGTGATAGCTGCACCAGTCCTGGGCCTCCACTTGCTTAGCTGAACTTCGAACGACTACCTGGTTTTGGTGTCTAAAAATCAAGACTGGGGGCAGACAAAGGTGACTGAACATGACTTCAGTGTTGGTCACACCACGCCCCCGTTTGTTTATCACTCAACATTAAAAGGTTCCCGCTAACAGCATTATGCACCGACAGGTCGAAACGAAAGATCTTCCCGTGTGCCAAGTTTCTGTGGCACTGCCGACTCACAGCAATGGGGTGTGCCATGATTTACGGCAATATCCTGAACCCATTGAGCTCTCAATGAGTTCAGGATTTTAAAAAGCCGGACATTTTGGAAGCACCCCCCCCCCTTCTCCACACTTTTGTAGTTTCTCGATCAGCCTCTAAATCAACATGTCAACTTTGCACCGAACACAGCAAAGGGGCTCACGAGGATCATGATATTCCAAAGCCAATCACGCATATTGGTAGAAAATCGGCCTTGTAGTTCAAGCTGCTTTTTGCTGCAAGGATCACTGCCACGTGTTACGTGGCCGTACGCCAACACTCTCCACAATTAGTTTTGGCATTGCTCGATCCTCTGTGGACCTTGTACCCATTGTTCATGGTGTAAAGCAGACTTATCTTCATGGCAATGACATTATGATGTTTGTATTGTTGGACTGATCTCATTTGCTCCCTCC